GGGAAGAGTTTCGGAGGAGTCCTGGCCTGTCGGTGCTATCTCTACGGCTTGTACCCTAGCAGAATCAAGTTCTTCGTGAGCTTGCTTCTGATATTTCTCTGGTAATCGAATTCTAATTCAAGTAAGCATCTTGTTTATATTATTCTTCAGGTTTGTGACTCTCTTTTGAGTACTTTAATCCTTGTAGCTCCTGGGTTAAAGTAGTATTCATAGTGTAAGCATGGTGCTTAGACTCGGTTACTCATGGATGTACCCTACTTTCTAGATCGGTGGTAGATCACGAGGGTGACTCTTATAGCCTCGTTGAATCCTTTGTAGTCCACCTCCCGTTAGTAGCCCTAGCAGGACATTGTTGCTATAGAGAACATACTCTACCTATGTTTTTTTAGTAATATCCCCAGAACTGGACAATAGAAGACAAAACTTACCAAAGTTAGAACTAGAAGACCTATGTGATCTCTCCTACGCTTCTATTATCTAGCCTTGATTGTGAAGTTGTATTAAGTTAGATTTAGTTATTCTCACACACGTTTCCTCGAGTTCGATATAAAACTGGGTTACTTCCGGTGAAGTGCTACAACGGTATAATATCCGTGCGCTTACGGATTATTCTGTGTGCATTAATTTATACCAACAATATATTATATGTGGTAGAGATAAAATGCTTGGTCTCCTTGAATGGTAGCCTAGCCTCCCTAAAACTCCTTTGGTTCTACCAGGGTGAGAGGAAGGTAGCACAAGGGAACAAAGACATATTTAGTTGTTCTAAATTACCATCAGTTTGAGTAAACACTTTTTGTACTTATTTATCATGTAAATTTGAGTCATTTGGTATGAAATGTTTTGTTTGCTTTTGACTATGTTGGCTGCATCAAAATTGATAAGTAAAAATGTGGTTGGTGTTGAGGAACATGTGAGTTTGGGAAGATAATTTGCTATAGAAAGCCGTTGCCAAAGAATTTTTTGTCTGTTATTTGGTCTTTCATTTAACAGGTCACAATGGTACTCCCTCCGTCCACAAAAGAATGCAATTCTCACATCCCGAGAAGCCAAACAATTCAAAATTTGACTAGAATTATATTAAAAAGTACTAACACTCATGAAACAAAATAAGTATAATTAGATTGGTTATAGAATATATTTTCATAATAAATTTATTTAAAAATTTAAATGTTAATGTTATTTACTATAAACTTAGTCAAACTTGAACTAGTTTGATCGGCACACTTCTCATAATTGCGTTCTTTTCTGGACAGAGAGAGTAGAAGAGTTATGTGGGGGGTAAGAAGTGTGATGTAAGGTGGTACAACTTATAAACCCTATGGATCTCAGCTGAGTTGGTGTAGGTGAGCCTGAATAATTAACTAGGGGGATGTGCCTGAAATGGAAGTAGACGTCAGACATCTACTGTGCTAGTTGTATGCATCGCTCTAAAAAGAATTCAAATCCTATACTTTTATAAAGCTAAACCTCACTAGAGATTTCTCTCAACATACAAGCTATCCACATCAACAATCCACTAGAACTTGCAATTATAGCCAACTAGCACATGTAATATCTCTTCATTCACTAACATACATTTAGCTGTCCATATCGATGTGTCAAACCATTCACCAAAATTAATTTAAAATAGTTTCATTCATATAACTATAAATATAAAAGACTAATTTCTTTTTAAATTATCTGGAATCCCCGCAGTAACGCGCGGGGTATTCTCCTAGTATCTATGGAAAGGTAAATCCACTAAACATTAAAAAAAATATGTTGCTATTGTTTAGAAAATCAGTCTTCTAAAAAAGAATAGAAGAAGGAATTCCTTCATTTTTTATTTTTATTTGAAGAGGAAAAGCTAATCCCTTCTAGTCCAAGTGTGGTTCATGTATTCCATGTCATGTGGATCCACCATATGCCTTCTTATAACCTTGTGGGATTCTTATGTGGTGGATTACTCTGGGCTTGCCTCATTGCTCATGTTCCATGTAGATATAGACATTTAGGACCTGTTCGGCAGGACTGAAAAATACTGTTCCGGCTGATTGTTATGAGAGGAAAATACTGTTCTGGCAGGACGTGCCAGCCAGCCGAACACAGCCTTAGTAAAGGACACCACGTAGATATAGACATTTATTTATTAGTAAAGGACATCGGGAGCGATGACTGGCATATGTAATATGTTTATGAAATGAAAGGCAGGAGAGTTGCCTAGATCGATTAAGGGAGCAGTATTTCAAGTACATGGGAACCGACAAGAAACAAATATTACAGCGCATTAAGGCGGAGTCAAACATCTGCTGCTATGACTACGTAGTAACCAGTAGCAAACATTAACTGCAATTAGTACGGTATGCATATACGATACAGTATATATACAATGATTAATACCATCACAACAAATGTGGTTCCTATGAGTATTCGCCGGATCAAGAACAAACAAAGATCGCTTTTCTGATTATGGTATCATAGTATGCTACCGGTGCTTCAATTTATGTGCTAAATTGGGAGTAGTAGGCCCTATGTATGAAAGTATCCTATTATGTACTGCAACTGCATTATCACACCAGTCGTCGGAAAGTGCTCTTGTGACTGACGAAGAACACTCTTTCGACACCTGGGTGCAGTATTCTTCCATGTTCGTCCTTGAGGCGCAATCTTCTTGCTTTTCGATCAATGACATCAATAAGGATCTAGCCATCTCTTTGGCTGATAAGAAGCCACCTGGGGTCAGCATAGCCAACAAGACCAATATCAAGTAAAGTTGCCTCCTCACTCTCCTGATTCTTGAGATCCTGGCTTAGACTTCTAAATTGAACCCTGTGTCTTGCAACCATCTCTGTTAAAGCAATGGTCACTTTAATCATCGATTCAGGACCATCAAGAGTATGTATCTATATATTGTCTTCAACCATATCATAGGAGATGATGCCTAGCGATCCCTACCTCTCACAGAGTGCAAAATCTACCACACCAACAACCTGAACAGGCACATTCAACATTCTGGGCTGGCCCTCACCCAAGTAGTAAAATACCACCTCATGTCTGGATATATGAAAGTAAACTATCTCATCAACTGTCACCACATTGTTGGGCTTGAACTCTTCAAGATCAATGATGGTAGCATTAATCTCCCAAGTCTGAGGTCCAAACTCGGAACCTAATGCGCGGATTAGGAGAATCTGCATTGATAAAGGTGGGCAAATATGGGACAACCACCTAGTATCTGTTTGCTACTTGGACCCCGTCCTGAAAGGACACTGCTAGAACTGTATAATAGCTTTCTTCTCTACTCATGGAGGGAAATATAGTACGCTATTGTCCAATAGCCTAGTTCCACACCAGCATATCTTCAGGATAGCTCAAATACACGTAGTAGAACCCAAAACATGAAGCAATGATAAGTGGGTCACGACCAGGGAATTCATCCTTAAGGCTCTCGAATTCTGCCTTGTTTTCATATCAACCGTAGCACACTTCTGAAGAGAATCAGTGCCTAATAGAAATCCTACTAGAATCCTTCCACCGTCGGCTGGTTGAATCTGGCCAAGAGTTTGAGGTGGGTTTAGGCCATCACATCACAGTATGCAGAATTCCAATTCTTCGTAACCAACCTTGCCACTCAACACATCACAAGTAGGCTTGAAATATTAGGGTAGACATCACACTTTGATGTAGATGATCACTTATAGTTGATGATTACTTGAACTATTCTTAGATTGTTTCCATGATCTTCCTTCTCATTGGCTTAAACTAGTTGTTGATTTGCTTAAGCTTCAAACTCGGTTTGACCCCTCTTCAAGCACACGCACATGAGCGGTTATCTTGTTGAAATAGAATTTGGCACTTGTATAGCTCATCAACTTGATTCAAACACTTCACTAGCTCATGAACAAGACATATGCTACCACTAGACACAATACAAACATAAAAGAAATTGTGGTAGAATGTGAACTCAAATACATTTGATTTTCCACGAATGCTCTTAGGTTACCAAGTCATGTCTATATGCACTAATCATATCTAGTAAGATATATATGCTCACTGCGTAACCAATTTTACCTTTGCTTTGGTCCGACGAGAGACTAGATATAATCGGTGCTCTTCAAGATATGTTGGAGAAGTTAAGAATATTCAACTTATTTCTCAATTTGCAAAATGGAGCTTCGTGCAAAGGCTTGTATTCCAATCCTTTTTTTATTAGTTCAGCTTGTATTCCAATCCTATGTCTACGTACACTTGTATCCCAAATTGGTCCGCTTGTACCTGTCCAGCTGGAAAACGGGGTAAAAAAAAACAGCCGTGACGCCTCCCCTCACGTCGTCACCCCACGTGGGCTGTCTGCGCGTCGGGCGTGCGCCGGTCGATACGGGAGAGTACGCTGTACGCCCCCGCCCGCTCCGGCTCTGTCTACACGTTTCCCTCCGGCCTCTGGGGTCGGGCCAGCCCGTCGGTTGCCTTTCCTTTTCCCTCCATCGGTCCGCCCCCCCGGCACCGGCAGCCGCAGCCCTCGCTTTGTCTCTCACGCGGACCGGACCACCGGAAACCAGGAACCAAACTGCCCCGAAAGAAAAGAGAAAACCTTTTTATTTCACTTTTTTTCCTCACAACAAAAGAGAGGGAAATAATATTCCAGGGCCGCCCGCGCCGGAACCGACCACTTCACCGGCAGCGGGCCGGAGACTCCGCGGAGCCCCTATCCCCGCGCCGGCGTGGGCGGAGGGAGGAGGAGGAGGAGCAGCGGCCGCAGCAGCAGAAGGATAAAGGGGGCTCTGGGAGCCTCTGAGAAGAAGCTTCTAGAAGCTGCTTGAGGCGAGAGCGAGCGCGCCGCGGCCAGAGTGATCTCGGTGGAATAAGTCGCGCGGGGCCGGCGCCGTGGGGGATGCGCCTCTGGATGCCGGCACCCTCCGAGATTTGAATGGTGACCAGATCTCGAGGGGGAGGGGAGCTTCTCGAAGCGGGGTGAGGCGCGCGGGCCGGCCGGCGGTTAGGGTTTGGTGGGAGGCGGGATGGTGGGGAGCTCGGTGGAGGGAGGAGCGGACGGAGATGGGGGCTGCTGCGGCGTCGGGGACACCTCGCCCGGGACCATCGTGTGGGTGCGGCGGAGGAACGGGTCCTGGTGGCCCGGCAGGATCCTGGGCCCCGAGGAGCTCCCACCGTCGCAGATCATGTCGCCGAGGTCCGGCACGCCGGTCAAGCTCCTCGGCCGGGAAGACGCAAGCGTGTAAGGTCCCACTCCCTTGTTTTGTTTTAGTTTTTCTACCCCTGAGCCCTGTGCTGTTTTTACATTTTAGATTACTTGTTATTGTTATTTCTGATCCATGTGGGATACTTGGCTCTTTCTTTCATGGAAGCTACGATGCCTGAGAGAATGGGGGCTTTACCAGGACATACAGTACTATCTTCTTTGTTTGTAGTCAAGCTCATTGCTAGTTTCTTTCTTAGACCTTGCAAAATTTAGAAGAGCTGTTGTTCATAGGATATGTAGCACGGTCACTGGGAACATGTAACGATGCCACATTCCTAGTCCCTGGAATGTTGCTCCTGTTCTGGTAACGCCAGAACAATATTGTCCCTGCCTTGTCAAAACTTTTCTCAAGTACCTTATAACGTTCCTTAATAACATTCCTCGACTCCACTGACCTGGGAACTTGGTGGCTATGATATGTAGTGGGTCTATTTCCTTACTAACTTTGAAACCATTAATTGTCTTCTTTCTTTCTTGGAAAACTTTCCCAGGCAGTTTCATGGCTGTGGCTCATGATATTCTTTGGTTGGATGTTAGTGTAAACAATTTGATGTATGGAAGTTTTAGAAGTGGGAAACAATAGCAAATTCAGGATATATAGTGGAAACAATAGGATATGTTCTAGAATTATGGTGGCTTTGTGCCCTTGCTTTCTGAAGAACCTGAAATTCCTGAGCATATGTATTCTAGGGTTGCTAACATCTCACTTACAGTATGTCATGCAGATTTTATGTTGCACAAAGAATTGTTTCCTTTTGGTATCCAGACAGATTGTACAGTTTTTATACTTGCTCTGTATCAGCAAGTAGACATTTATGGCCCCTATTGTGCCATAATATTCTAAGCTACTACATTTGTTGGTAGATATGATGTAGAATAATACTTCTTCATGTAGTTAACGGATTTTGTTTGTGAGATAGGACAGATAGCTTTTGATATCCTTATTGGATACTTAGTGTAGTCCCTCTGTTCCAAATTGTAGGTCGCTTTAGACTTTTAGTATCCTCCTAACTGAAACTTCTCTAGCTTTGACCAAATTTATATGAAAATATATTAACATCTGTGATATCAAATATATGCACTATCAAAGCATATTTCATGGTGGATTTGAGGAACCTAGCTTGATGTTGTAGATGTTGGTGCATTTATTTATAAAGTTGGTCAAGGTAATAAGTTTGATTTAAGACAAAACTAAAATGACTCACATTTTCGAATGGATGGAGTACTTCACTAGGAGAATTAAAATCTTAGAATTATTGTTATGTGAGGTGATTAGGTCTTAATGATTCAAGAAGTCTCCGCGTATCCTTGATTGTACCTATTATCCCCTTTTTCTTAGTTTATTATGAAGATCGCATTATTACATCTATTGCTCTATTGTCAAAACTTCCTCTCCTGTGAATCTGTGTTTTCAAAATTTTATCAGCTAATTTTAAGCCATATCTATTAAGAGTTTTTCCAATTATTTTGCTAGTCAATATCCTGGAATAGTAGCTGGGTATATATTGCATTTCCGTATCCAATTTTATTTCATTCTGAACTACTACTACAACAAAACATTACCCCCAAGCAAATTGGGGTAGACTAGGTATGAAAATCAACAAGTTCAGACAAATGAAAAAAGGTTAATATTAGGAACAATAATATTCATTTCTTGGTGATGATTCTGGCATGTAGAATGGTAATTTTCACACACTCCTATCCAAAGATGATTCTTTGGGACAGTCATGAAGTTTCTGGGTCAATGGGGTTTGAGAAATGTGATTGAGGAACACGGTATGCTATTTGAAAAAGGTTTTGACAAGGCTGGGACAAGATTGTTCCCATGTTTCCAGAATGGGAATGATGGCATTCCCGGCACGAGGAATGAGGCATGGCTCCACGTCCCCTGTGACTAGGCTTTGGATACTTTCCATTCCTTCAAGTCCATTTCTAACTACCTGGAGTAATCGTATTTTCTGAAATTTGAAGTTCCTCACATATTCTGTTTGTATTTACTTTTCCTTTTGTTTCTTAGGGATTGGTACAACCTTGAGAAATCAAAACGTGTTAAAGCATTCAGGTGTGGAGAGTTCGATGCCTGTATTGAGAAGGCAGAGGCCACTCAAGGGACTGTTGTGAAGAAAAGAGAGAAATATGCACGGAGAGAAGATGCTATTCTTCATGCACTTGAATTGGAGAGGAAGCAGCTTGCATCAAAGTATCAGACTCAAGGTTTCAGACCTGGACCACCTGGTAATATTTCTGGTAAGTTTAGGTGACAGTGAAGAGTTTTGTTAGTTGTTTAGGTTGTTTCTTGTATGTTATCCATGAGCTTCAAACATTCTGCATCTAAAACTGAGCTGTCTTCATGAAATGCAGCTTGCACAAAACATCGCAAAGACCTTGGAAGTACTCGCTACAAGAGTAAAAAGAGCAAGAAGCGCAAAGATGCATCTGTTCCTGCTGATGTAAAAAAAGAAGTGGGACAATGTTTTCTACATGCTGGTTCGAAGAGAAACTTTTCAGAATCTCTTACTCAAGGAAATGTTGTCAGTAATCACATGGGTGATTTATCCCATTTGAGACATTCTCATGGAGGTGCCACTTTAGAGAACAAGGAGAGGAGTACAATTGTGAAGAAAAATAGATCGGACGGAAGTGATTTTGAAGATTCTCTTGTTTCAAAATCAGACAGACGCAGACCACTTTCTCAAGTATTGCAGAGCAGTGAAAACTTGCCTCCTCACTTAAAGCAAAGCGATGATTTGGGGGCTTTGTTAATTGGGGAGAATAATAATTCTTCACTTGCCACCTCCCCGGTCCAGAAGAAGTAAATATACATACATGGCTAGTGATTCTGGTGAAACTCAGAGTCATAGTGATTTACCTTCTATAAAGATGTCTTCTACTGGAGCTGATTTTGAGAATGAAAGCTATCTTCGGCATCCTGGTTATTTTTCTGAGGAGCACACTTCTTCTGACTTTGTTGAGAAGCAAATAACTGAGTCTTCAGAGAGGGAATGCTCAGAAAGTGAGACTGAAGATGATGCTGAACTTCAGCAAAGTATGTGCACCTCGAATTTCTTCTTTCCGATGGTTTGAATTCATGTTACATTGTCATAGAATGCTGGCTATAGCATAGCACAACATACTAAAACATTAGTATTAGCATCACACTTGCGATTTAGTGATGCAAATATTGACAATAAGGGCTGAAAATTACAGTCTGTAGCTGAAAGTGGAGGTGTTTTTTCCCTCAAAAAATGACTCACTATTAACATGGCAGTACAGATGTTTGTTTCGCATGATTGCAGTGGCTCTTTTGATGATTCATTTGCCCTGCATAAAACATGTTATAAAGTTTCACTTCACGCCAACTTGCTTCAGATTGCATTCTTGACTTACCCATATACAGCATGATTTACTTCCGTATATTGAATCACTGTAACTCTACACATACACTGGACCCCTAAATATGTACTCCCTCCATACTAAAAAATGAAGTCGTTTTGGACAGCGACACGGTCTCCAAAGCATAACTTTGACTACTTATTTTTATAAAGATATTTATCAAAAAGTGAGATATGTAAATTTTTGTGAAAGTATTTTTCAAGACAAATCTATACATATGGTTTTCACATTTCCAAACTCAACAACTTAAAAGTTATTCATGATTTATATTCCCAATGTTTGACCCAACCCTTGTCCAAAACGACTTCATTTTTTTAGTATGGAGGAGTACATGCTTAGGGTTAAGGGTGATGAAGAACTAAATTGCTATAATTAATTTCTACATGTGATTGTGTTCATTTGTTCAAACCATGGGTAAGGCTTGTTGGATGATGTTGACGATAATTGATTCAGTTTTACTAGGTAAATATGTTAAGAAGAAAGAACAGTTGTAGGTATGAGATATTGTAATGACCTTGTCTTATGGTAAGTATTATTGCATATAAGGTGGAGGAATCAAATACAAGGGAACACAGTCATACTTATAGAACTATGAGACTTTAAAGATGCAATAATTAGTCATTATGCATATTATGGATCATTGGCATTTTTATAAAGTAAATCCATGACTAAAAGAAGTCTTTGTACTTCCATTGGGCGTTTCTGAACTGGTAGTTTAGAGGTGAAATAGTAGGTACAGATCTATTGCTTCTTACTATTTCAGCATCCCTGGCTTGCATTCTTTTTTTTTCCTTGGGGTTTTGTATTACAGTCAGAATTTAACTGTGTTAATATAATTTTGACAAAAATCATGCAAAACAAGGAATCTGGGAATCCCAGAGCCTTATTCATTAACAAATACTCTCTCCGTTCCAGATTATAAGACATTTTGACTTTTCTAGATACATTGCTTTTACTATGCATTTAGACATAATGTATATCTAAGTGCATAGCAAAAACTATATATTTAAAAAAAGCCAAAATGTCTTATAATTTGTGTATGTTGCGTTGGATTTGCGGTCATACAAGAAGGGATCGAGTTCGGAACGATGATATACGTGATAGATTAGGGGTACCACCAATTGAAGAAAAGCTTGTCCAACACCGGTTGAGATGGTTTGGACATGTCCAACGGAGACCTCTAGAGGCACCGGTCTATGGTGGAATCCTAAGCCAGGATAGTAACGTGAAGAGAGGCAGAGGAAGACCGAAGTTGACTTGGGTAGAGGCAATAAAAGGAGACTTGAAAGGATGGAATATACCCAAAGATTTAGCCTTAGATAGGAGTGCTTGGAAAATAGCTATTCACGTGCCTGAACCTTGATTGCTTTTTCTGGGTTTCAACTCTAGCCTACCCCAACTTGTTTGGAACTTAAAGGCTTTGTTGTTGTTGTTGTCTTATAATTTGGAATGGAGAGAGTAGATTGCTAGAAGGCCATAAATAATTCCTTGAAATATTTACTGTGTACCTTTGCTGCTTTTTTGTTTGGTCGGAAACTTCCATGAGTACCAATTTATAGTCTGTTACTGATGTTATTTCTTGCATGAGTCTTCTGTAGATTTTATTGATAACTTTTGTATGGCAATTTTTTTGGCAGATGCAAGCGTAATTCTACCTATAGAATCTTGTGCTCCTGATCCGTATTCTGTTCCAGTTTCTGATAAGTTCAAGCATGTGGATTATGATGACAATGAGGTGACATATTCTACTTATGTGCCCCAGTTGAATGAATCTGAGGAAGAGGATGGTTATTCTGAGCTGGGTGTGTCTCAGTGGCACATGAAAGGAAAGCGCAACAATCGTAATGCCGCGAAGAGATTAGTGGATATGAGAGATGGAAATACATGGTTAAACAAATACAATGGACCATTAAAAGGATCTTTGCATAACACAAATGGTGGGAATCCCAGAAAAGAAAGTATGCACACATCTGGTGAGCAGTTTTTTGAGGAAAGCTTTTACCAAATTAAGGAGGAGCCCAATTATGATTCTGAGGAAACTAATTTATTTGAGGACATGAGCCATTCAGTGGCTAACTTGTACTATGGTAAAAAATACCCTTCATCCTTGAGAACCACAAGAGATCTTAGCCGAGGCTACAGTTACTTTAATGACTATTTGAATGACTCTTCAAATGTTTCTCCCCTAAATATGGACGCTGAACGGATATATCATGTTGATCGGAATGCACATTGGGATGGACCTTCATTTTACCAAAGGAAGTTGACTTCACGTTTTGGTGGCATGCGACCAATGTTGTTCAATGTTAACCTCAAAGTTCAGGCCAGCTACCAAGGAGAGCATGTCCCTCTTGTCTCTTTAATGAGCAGACTTAATGGCAAAGCAATTGTTGGACACCCTATCCAAATTGAAATAGTTGAAGATGGTTCCACAGATCATCTGGTATTCTGCGGTGATAGTGGTATGCAAGAGAGCACAGCTGCTCCACCTGCTTGGCCAACAGGTAGAAGAACTGCCATGCAAAGAGTTCCCCGTTCAAATCCATCAGGGGCACTGTTGGATGGCGATAATGAAGGTGGTCTTGTGTATTCTGATTATGAGATGAAACCAACCTTAAGAAAGTACTCATCTTCTTCGAATCACCAGGTTAAGGTGAGTAAGAAAAGCAGTTTGAATGCTAGGAGGTCATCAGCTAAGTCCCATAAGAAGTCATCCAAGAAAACAAACCTTAGAGCTCTCTCTTCCATTTCCACTGCAAAAAAACACCATGGAGAAGGTGGCCGAGCAAAGGCACATTGGCATAATGACATATTTGGTGGTTTAATCAGATCAGAAGGAGCAGTTCCTCTAGTGACATGTGTCCCAACGAAGGTTGTGTTCACTAGGATATTGGAAGCAGTTGGCAGGCCACCTCCATCTGTCGCTCACCGTGTTAGAATGGCTAGTCCTTCAGTGCGAGATCCTCCGTAGGCTTCAACTGTAGTGCTACATACGGTTTATGTTGCCAGCCGTTGACATGCAAGTTTTATGTACATTCCTGTTAATTGAAGAGGCAGACCATTCAATCAGCCGGTAACACCTGTGAAGAGTCAGATTGATATGGTTGCTCCTTGATAACTTGGAACAGCTGATCTCTTATTAGCAGTGGTGACAGCCTGTAAAGATCAATAACGCTTGTGTATTTCTGACTGGAGACTGAGATCATGAATGCTTCAGAACAGCTTGTGTATTTCTGACTGGAGACTGAGATCATGAATGCTTCAGAGCAGCTGAGCCATTGATACCATGAAGAGGTACTCTTTGGTGTAACTAGCACTGGTGACTATGTCATTTGGTTTCGCCACAACTGTCTCCTGTAAAGTACTAACTTCAGCATTTTAGGTGTCAATTTAGTTAAAACATTTGTGTCATCATATATAGCAATAGGTCATAGGTTTCCTAATGTCATGTATAATCCCTCAATTATATCCTGATGTGTCTGTTATTTATTGTCGAGAAGTAGTTGGTTCAACTGTATGTTTAGAAGCATGTGTATCTAGTCGATGTAATATATCAGAGCAAGTACTCCAACATCCCAATGGTGTAACAATCTAGTCATCCATGTGAAGTTTCCCTCCAGGCCTCCATAGACATAGTGAACAAAAAGGGCCTGCTCGGCAAGCTGGCTGCAGCTGCGCTGAGCCTTACCATTTACCCTATCGTTGCCTTATCTCACTCATTAAAATGCTGCATGACAGATTTTTATATAGTGATGCTTGTTGTAACGGGGCTGCAAATATTAGTGCCTGAAAAAAATCGTCGTGGCCACCTTGATCTGCATTGATGGCACTGTAAGCTCGATCGTACCATTGAGCTGATGCACTGGAAACGCTGCACGATCTTCGTCGCGCTGGAAACGCTGCACGATCTTCGTCGTTCCAGGCTGACGGGGAGGTTACAATGGCCCTGTTTGTTATTATATAGCTTTATATGAAAACGCTTTCCAGAGAATCTGTACAAAAGAATTTTAGTGCACAATTTATGTACTGCGGGGGAGGAGCTGTATAGATGAAAAGTACGTTGCGGTGCCTTTTATTTCTTTCTGAAACAATGATCCTTTGGCACAATTTTGATTAATGAGACTGAACGTTTTCTCGGAACGGAGGTCCTAACGTTCGGACGCCCACGCAGCCTACCTCCGTTCGCTGATTTTTTCCACCCCGCAAGCGCATCCCGCCCCATTGCAGCGTCTGCGTGTCTGGATGACTCACCTCGCACTTGCAGCCCGCCCTTGTTCGCCCCACCCTGCACTCGCACCCCGCACCCATCGGCCCCGACCGCCGGCCCCGAGCGCGCCCCATCCGCAGGACACCGGTGTGTTGCGCGCCCCGTTTGCCAGCCCCAACTCGCCGCGCCCTATTCCTCGGTGCCCGCGCCGTGCCACCATCACTCCCCGTGGCCCCCGACTCTTCGAACAATATGAAAGATGTGCAACATGAAACACTTGAATGCAACATACGTACGTCAGATGAAACATTTTGAACATACAGTTGCAACATATATGTGAAACATATGCAACATCCAGATAAAACATGTGCAACTTGCAACATGAAAACACTTACTGCAACATAAGACTGAAACATTTGGAACATATTGTTGCAATATATGTGTGAAACATATGCAACATCCAGATAAAAAAGTTTGCAACATACGTCAGGAACAGATGAAACATTTTGAACAAACCTCAGAAGCACTTGCAACATGCCTCTGAAACACTTGCAACATATGCAACATCTCTGAAACACTTGAAAAATAAGATTGCAATATGCGCTTTCATCGCAACATCTCCTTGCTGAGGTCGCGCATCGCGGCGGCCATGGCGTCGACAGCGGCCACGACCTTCTGGTGGGGAACGACGGCATCGGCAGCACCCTAACAGCACCTCAGCGGGCGTGGGGGACGAGGCATGACGATGGAGGGGGCGTGGCGCTGGATGGGGGAGCCGCGCAACGCGAGATGGGGTGAGCGGCGGGGAAGATGGCAGCACGCGATGGGTGAAAGCGATGGGGAGATATTTTGAAGAGAGGAGATGAGAGATGCAGAGCGTAAGCAGGCCTGTTGGACCGGTACACGCAGGTCCGGAAAGCAGCGTCCGGACGCCCGCTCTTGAACATTACTGTTCTGGGAATCGCCAGTGCCCACTACCCACACAACATAGGGCAGAAGGCAGATCAAATCATATCGCACATAAGCAAAGATCTGACAGTTTGAGCTAAGCAGCCAAACAAACAATTGAAAGTTTAAACAGCCCGAACCAAAAGCAAGCAGCAGCAACAGCAGCCAGCAGTCAACCCGAATGAATTTCTGACGATCTTTACCGATCCGTACGAGTTCAATTATCGGTCCAAGTGACATTCTTTCCTGGACGGGGGAGTACTATCATTCTGAATCATAGATTTAAGCAACGTTCGTCGCACTGCAAACTACGGAACCTAAGCTTCAATCGCAAGATAGTATTACAGTGTTCTTGTATCCACAGGTTTAGGCGTTTAGCATTTTCCCAGGCCGACGGCACATGGGACACCCCAAGTCAACTTGCCCCATCGTTCTTCACAAAGTCAATCCCCAGTCACAAAGTCAACATACACGCTTGGCGTGATGCCACCCTCCTGCCCAACCGCTTAACAGGACCAAGGCCAACCCCTCTCAACTCGTCACCGGCCCATGATGCCATGAAGCGAACAGCTCAGCACGACGCGGGCGACGACGACGACAACTGCAGCGCTCGCAACCCGTTCGTCAGAGTCTCCTCTGGTCTCGTAGCCATGAACCAAGCTGCGGCACTCAACAACGACAACGACAGGCGCCGCATCCCCCGCATCATCCGCAACGCCGTCGACGGCGCGTGGGAGCGGCCACCCCACCACGCTGGCTACAGCCCGGCCGTGCCCGTCCAGATGGCCGGCGCCCACCGCTGGGCGCGCTACGACGACGTCGTGTCCGCGCTGCGCTCCCTCGCCAACTCAAGCCTCCTCGAGCAGGAGGCCCGCGAGGACGCGAGGGCGACCATTCGGGGCCTGTACCAGCACCCGACGCCGTTCGACACCGACGTCCGCTTCCCCGAGGCGGAGTTCTTCCTGTCCGTCGACCACGGCACGTTCGGGCAGTGCATGAACCGCATCCAGAAGGCGCTGCTGCAGGTGGAGGCGGCCACCAAGGGGTATTTCTCGCAGCGCACAGTCACCGCGTGCGAGCCCTTCATGGAAGCTGTCAATTACGCGGCCGGAACGGGGACTCTGGTGTGGCCGGAGGAGCCCGGGAAGCCTGTGCTGTATGACCGGGCTGTTTTCGAGGAGGCTTTCCAGCTGACCTGGACTGACGCGTGAGCCATCAGATGGTCTACTTTCACGCGATGTGCTAAAATCTGCCGATTTCATGCTTTGGTACGCGCATCAGCTGTTTCCAAGTTTCAATTGTTTGTTGAGTTTGCTTATATTTGAAAGAGGTACATGCATAGTAGGCCCTTGAACTTGTCTCGGGGTGCCACTTAGGTCCACAAACTCTTAAATCGTACTTCTGGCACCCTAACGTTGTTTAAGTATGTCACTTAGGTCCATAACTCATCGGATCAAGGTTTTGGCCGACGTGGCGTGAACAGAACGCACGTGAGCCACGCGTGAGCCTGGTCTGGGACGTGCAAATAAGCAGAGCGCTATCTCCGCCGTCTCCTCGTAGCCGACGAATCGCGTGCCAACTCATTCTAGCTCCGCGACGACAACGACAGAAGGGCGGCGGTATGCACGCTAGCATCTGGCTCGGCAGAGGTCCCGCCGACCTCCGGCATCCGGTTCCGGACGCTCAACTACGCCACCACCATCGCGCCGGGCGGCGGCGGCAGCTCCGGCTCTCCCCGCCGCAAACCTCACCGTCATCGTGGACACGGAAGCGACCTCACCTCGGTAAAGTGCAAGCCTCGCTCCCCGCGTCTTTGCAGCGCAATAGCGACACGCTCTTCGACCCGCTGGCTCCGCCACCTACGCGCGGTCGGTGCAACGCCTCATTATGCGGCCTCCTCAAAGCGGCCACCGCACGCCGGGATCGTCGCGTTACCACCGCGCGCGAGGCAACGAGAGGTGCTACTACGCTACCGGCATACGGCAACGGGTCCTTCACCGCGACGTGTTTCGCCATGGACACGGTCGCGCTTCGGCGGCGCCACTGGACGGGTTCGTGTTTGGGTGCGGGCTCAGCAATCGCGGCTGTTTGGCGGCACGGCGGGGCTCATGGGCTTCGGCCGCACCGAGCTATCCTCGGTCTCCCTAGACCGCGTCCCGCACGACGGCGGCCCGGTAGAATGGCTCGAGGTAGCGGCAAGGCGAGCCCTCGGCGCGAGGGTGGTGCCGCCGACGACGCGCGCCGGTGATATTGAGGAAGTAGAAAAGCGGCTGCCGGTCGGCGATCATGCGGGTGTAGGCCACAGGCGTCGTGGATCGGGAGCCGGCGGAGCTGCTACTACCGATGCGGCGCGGCGGCTTTAGCACGCCACGCCACGACGCCGCGGGCAGGCGAAGCTCCGGACGGGAGGATGCACGGCGCGAAGCGCGTCATGTTGGTGGCGAAGGCTCGGACGGCGACCTTTGGGGAGCAACTTCTTCGAGGCTGATGCCGACGAGGCCGCCGCCGTCCTCGCGCTACTACGATGGCGATCATGCATCATCGGTGGCGGCGATGGTGGTGCGCTCCACGACGCAGAGCTCCATCTTGGCGCGCCGCCATGAGCGCGGGGATGTGGTGAGCAAACACGCCGAGCCACCGCAGCGGAAGAGGCAAATGGCCCAACATCATGGACTGTCGGCGCCAGCGTAGCGATTGGGCGTGATGCACTCGCGCGAGACGACGACAGCGCCGGCGTCGGGCGCGCCATGGGGCTGGATCGGGACGCGCGTGCATGGTGCTCCGGGCGAGGTCCACGGTGACGAGCACAGCGGCGC